GCATTGAGACTTAGGGGTAGGACACTGTAGGGGTAGGATTACATTTTCATCATAATACTGCGTGATAATTGTAGCAAAATGCAGTGAGAATTTCAGAATGCATTCTGAGCCAAAGGTGCAGCAAAAGGGTAGCAAAATGGTGATTTAAATGTCTTATTTTTCTTAAATGCTTTGACACTTACATATAAGATGTTTCAATAGCATTTTCATTTAATACCCTGCAACGAGTATAGTTTAAGTCAATGTGGAAAGCATTTGGTTAACGATGAATATTGACCTATTGTGCGTCCTGTTGCCGAGCCTCGCCTTGATGTAGCCTAACGATTGACAGGTCGGGGGCGTGTTGCAGTTTCAAATGCATTTCAAATCCACATTGACTTTATATTCATCGTGGGGTATTAAATGAAAATGCTATTGAAACGTCTTATATGTAAGTGTCAATGCATTTAAGAAAAATAAGACATTTAAATCACCATTTTGCTACCCTTTTGCTGCACATTTGGCTCAGAATGCATTTTGAAATTCACACTGCATTTTGCTACAATTATCACGCGATATCACGATGAAAATGCAGTCCCAAGTGTCCTACCCATAAGTCTAAATGCATTTAGGAAAAATGGCATTTAAATGATAATTTTGCTATAGTTTTTGCTTGGACAATTTTTAAACATCTAATCAATTTGGGTAATACATTTTCATTTTAGTTTTGCAACTTATAAAGCATTAAAATAAGTTTTTAATTTACATATTAAAACTAGTGTAGGAAATGGCAAATCTAAATTATATAATTGAATTTTAATTTTGCACTAAACGTTGCACATATGTATGGGAAAATGTAAATTTAAATAAAGAAATGCATTGCCATTTTACATATTGCATTGTCATTTTGCATATTACATTTCAAAATGAGTTTTGCTGCCCATACGCTTCCATATCTCTCTTCATGTTACTGCAATTGCAGTTCAGAATTGCACGTTTTTTGTGACTTTTTATATTTTTGTAAAACTTAAATTTCTAAATACTTTCTATTCCAGTTAAATGTGTAGAATTAACGATAAGTAAGCAAGGCTTAAGTTGATTTCCCTGAAAAGTGTAAACACTGACTCTGTGGTTGTTTAAAAACATTGCTTTGTTTGTTTGAGCATCCCGACCAGCCTGGCATAGCAACATTGGTTTAACCAATGGCCTGAGTTTGGGGCATGTATGGCTTGCATCTGTTTATCCAACCAATGGCAGACAGTTGAATTGGCCATTTGAAAACTAACTTTATTTTTGCAATTCCCTTTGGTGCTGCAGAAAAACCTTTAGTTTTTGGCTAATTAGAATTCAGTGTGTAATGAAAAGCTTATGATATTGTTCTTTATTCCTACAGGTGACCACTGACTTATACCATGTACTAGAAAGGAAGGGCTACCAGCTGGAGTGCCGTGGACTGGTGAAAGTGAAGGGGAAAGGAGATATGACCACTTATTTCCTCAACAGTGGTCCTGTCTGCAGTTAACACTGACTAAATGCCTCTCAATGCACTGAAATGAAGGAAGGACAGCAAAAGGCTCTGAATGGGATTTGAGCAGTTCCAAATATAACCACTCACAAGTTTTCTAGCTCACAAGCATTAGTTGGGCATGTGTGGTATTTATATATGCACCTACTGGGAATAATGAGGTACGCTCTACCTGAAAGATTTAATGAAGAACTGTTGCCTTAGAGAAGACATTGAAGAAAGTTTGGTTTTATTTTTTATTTTGTGGGAAAGACTTCTTCCATACCAAAATTTGAATTCTTTATTTATTTTGACAGGTTTTAAACCATGTAAATAAAAAATTATTATGTATGCAAGCATCAAGAAGCAAGAAGAAACTGACCAAAGAACAAATTATTTGATATAGGAACACTACACACGCCATGTAAACTGTTTGAAATGTCCGAACAAGTGTTATTCATTTGTCTGGCTTTCCTTTTTTGGCCTCATGCCACTCTTTACCACATCGTATTCTATTATAAACACTAAAGCAAAAAACATCTGTCTTCATTGAAGGCCTTAGAAACAGGAATCCTAATACAAGTGACTTGTATTTACAGTTCGTATGATTTATGAGTGATCAACATGTTTTTCCCTTTTAGTATTTGTGTACAAAAGAGGTAAATGAAGGACGAGAATGGCATTGGACAAATTTTCCTTGGTCATTTGTTCATTTATGTGTGTGGACGGTGTGTAAATGTGTGTCTGTTATCTTTAAAAGGACATAATAGCTCACTGTGAGGTTTATAAAATGAATTTAAAATAGCTTTTTTGCCAGATTAAGTGCTAATTAGATTAAATTCTTTGCATTTATGTGTTCAATTGATAACTGATGTAATTTCCCTCTCACTTGAGTTCATAAATGTGTTACACAAATTTCAACTCTTAATTCATTCCTGTATAAATCAATGAAAAAAATGAACCTAAATATGACCAAGACCTCATATAATTCCAGCACAGTATGGTCAGCAACGGTATCGTCTTCTTAAGACCCTTGTAAATATGTGTAAATGTGCTGACAGAGGCCTGTTGGGCTTAGTGGTTGCTGACAAATGTGGCTGGACTGCAAAGTTGTTCGTCTGACAGTGTTCAGCATTAGTCCATTTCAGCATTTCCTCATGAACGCTCTTAGTCATTCTTGCACATTTGTCAACATTATTTAAAAATTATGCAATTACCAGTCAAATGCATAGGTTAGCACTGCTGCAGAGTATTTTTTGCCATATTTCTGAATTTACCATTCCTACTGTATAGATGCATCTTGATGATTGTGTTGCAAGAAACATCCTTCACCGTCCTTAACATGAATTTCCCAATATGAATGTACATGTATGTTTAACATTCTCACTGTGTCATAGACATCAAAGCACATACGGTTTTTTGTTCAAATATGTTTGTGGTACATGGACCTTTCAGGACCTTTTTCATTAAAAGGTGGCAAATCAATAAATTGGGTGTTTTTTGTAAGAATAATGTATCAATACCATATCCACCCAACACTAGTTTGTGCAATTTGTCATTTATTTCTTCTCATTTTAATTACATGTGGACATACAGGCCACAGTCAGAATAAGCTGGACAAAAAGGCACTTTATTAGGCACTTTCCACAAATATGGTATAAAAAAAACGAACCTAAAATACTTTTTTTAACAAGTGGTCAGTGAAAGCGTCACATTCAGAAGTAAAGTTGATTGTCAACCCAGGGGCGCCGGAAGATGTTTTCGGTTGGGGGTGCTGTGTGTGTCCGTGTTGGGTGAGTGTTGTTTGGATGCCGATTTTGTAAAGTTTTTGCTGGGATGGGCATTTAAAAAAATCTGAAATTCGCTTTTGCGCCATTATCTCCTTGTATTAAAGTTAATCTTGTTCGCATTCTGTACAGTTCATGTCTGAAACCATGCGCTAGCGTCACGTGTTCATGAGGATTAGGCTAATCGTCCCATATAGAAAACATCACAAGTAAAATTAATCATGTTTATAAAGATAAACATGGGTTTATTATAGCCCACTTACAATTTACATTTCAGAGATCATTACAAATAAATTATTAAATGCTAAAACTGAATAAATTTAAATGAACAAACTTGGCGTTGCATTTGCAACCATGTGAAAACGGGGTGCTGCAGCCCCCTCAGCACCCCTACTTCCCGCGTCCATGTGTCAACCTCAGGAGGCCAAGCTAAATTGTGTTAATTTTCACCATAAATTCATAGCAAAATATGTCACTCAGCTACATGTAACTTACATATGACGTTTTTAATAATTAAAATTAGTTCATTAAAATTATTTAACAATTAATTAAATATTTCAACAGATTGTCAAAATAAGCTTTTAATTAGTTTTTGTGCTAGGTTTATTTTATGTTAGCTATTTTATTGAACATAAATGTAACACATCTGAAGTAACGGAATAGTGTACACTATTTGGAGTGCGCCATTTGTTAAAAGATTTCCTTTTATTTTACTGTACATCAAAAGAATGTAATACCTCAAAACTAAGCCATCAGGTAGACAGACAGGCCATTGTTAGGTGTGAGTGGCTCTAGTGATTGTTGTGTTAATGGACTCTTCTCTTTGTTCATGCTCAGCTTGGTGTCTTTTCTTCAAGTAGAAGCAGTCTCATGTCAGACGATAGTTTGTAATCACGATTCTCTCCTACAGAAGTACCGACCCCATTTCCTCTTGGCCTGCCTTTCTCAAATGTCTGAATAAATCTGTATTCGGTTACACGTACGCGACACAAGAGGCATTGAATTCAATTGCATCCCAGTTAATAATTTATATCTGTTGAGGTATAGTTTGTTACCACATCCTTTCCTGACCCTTAATTAAGTAATCAACGTCATCCAATTTTAGACAAGTGCAAAGCAACACTGAAATTTCCCTACATGTTTAACAGCACTTTCAACTGTTAAAACTTATTTGTGTGAAAAAACTATGATCCCACAATTGAAATGATGTGGTGAGCGAATCGCTGTTTTTGAATGAATCTTTAAAGTGAATCATTGTCGTTCACTTCCATGGACTGAATCATTTTGGTTCACTGAATCTCCCCTTTGAAGCGTGTCCGGTTAGTCACTCGTGGGGAGATGCTTGTGATGCTTAGGCTAAACTATTTTAGCCGGTTTTGACACGCAAAACGACTCTTTGTTTTGAACGAATCGGGTGGTGAATCCTTCGGTGACAAAAAAGACATGTAACTACCTACTCGCGTACAGATGTAGCCTACAGCAAACCGCAGAAAGTATCCGTGAAGGAATCTTTTTGGTGTACACGAACACATTCAATAGAGTCGAATCACTGAGATGAATCAAAATCCCCATCATCACTAGTAGGAAGGCCCGGCTTTAGGACCCAGATGACTCTCAATCATTTGAACGCATGGCACCTGTTGCGTTCAAAGGGAAGCCGGGAGGCCAGTGCTGCTAGTCGCGTGAAACCGTCGCGCGCTTAGTGAACCCAATATCTCTAAAACGCGAAGTTACAGAGTAACAACATCCGTCTATCGACTCTCGCAGCTGAAACAAACAGTGCCGCGGTAGACGAGGAAACACGTATTTATCTATAGTATCTGCTTCTTTGAGAAACACATGACTGACTGAAATTATTACAGGTAAGCTTTGAAAATGTAATTAAATGAGTGCTTTATTTGTTTCGACATGTTTCGCGTCATGTCTGTTGTCAACAAAATCTAACCTCGGCGTATCTTCCTCTCCTTGTCATGAGCGGGTTTCATCTTTATTGTTAATAGCACACAAAAGCTCGTTCGTCGTACATTATCCTCATTTATTCGAAAATAAGGTTTCTAGAAGACGGTGAAAGACTGAAATCGGTGTCATACTGTAATTATTTTAACCATTATATATTCTTGGCTCACTTCCTTACCTATTCAGATAAGTTTCGCTTAGTTGTCATGTTGCTTGGCATATTTTTTTTTGTTTAAACTTTAAGGAAGTGCTTGGGGTTTGCGAAATTTGCGAAACACGCATACTATTCAGTAGCTAAGGAAAAATGCGGTTTAACCAATATATGTTACTTCATAACTTTAGGTTAATAATGTCCATATAAGCTCTGACTCAGTTTTAGTGCAGGAGAACCAGTTTTAGTTTGAAAGATTGGGAAAGTCTGAACACATACGCAGAAGTTGGCCTGACTGTCTCTGGTGGCCATTAACCCGCCTTGGGATTTGTGATGTAGATGTTTTTAAATAGACTGGTTCCATGGGCACTGAGGTTACGGATTCATTTAACACCATATGTTCCATTGTCCTCACATTTCCTATTTTAAAAAGTAATTACTTGAGGTTAAATTATATCATATATTATGATATTATATCATTATATCTTCACTGTTGTTTACTTCACTGGTTTGCACTATATCTGCCATGTGCCTTGTGCTGCTTTATATATTTTTTTTACATTTTACCTTATTTGTATATTTGTATAGTTGCATTTTATATTTAATCTGTATCTATCTGTATTTATGTTCTACTGTTAGTGTTATCTGTATGCACCAAGGGTCTGAGAGTAACGCAATTTCAATTCTCTGTTTGTATGTGCTGTACATGTGGAAGAATTGACAATAAAGCAGACTTGACTTAAAATGCAAGAATAATAGTGCTTTAAATTTGCCAGTCCTCAAGATGACCATTAAACTCCTTCCAAGCAGTTGGTGAGATCCAGATCCTGTTCAGTTAGTCAGATCACAGGCAACGTGTCACAGTTGTGAAGTGTATTTATGCAAAGCTTCCAACACCACCCATTAAGTGTAGTGGGAGTGTGCGTGAGCCACCTGCTGCCACGTGGATCCAGCAGGGTGAAGGAAGGATCAGGTGCAGAAGGGTGTTTGTTGTCAGGTGAGGTTTGTTTGCTCTGTTGCTGTGCTCCATGTGAGAGTCGACAGTGCAGGCTTTCACTGCTAATTAAGAGTGGGACATGGCTTGCTTTGTTGTGGAGTTTGTGTAAATAAACTAACAATTTTATGGATCTTCTTTTACATTTTGGTGGCGATTAGTTTTTCCTTCATAAGTGATTTTTGGTCTGTTTTCACAGTTTGGTGACTGAGATTGGCCAACAGAATGCGTCTGAGGCGTCGTCTCTCCCCCCTGAAGCTTACTGTTCTGGGCGGCACTGTTTTCATGGTGATTCTGGTGGTGCTCCAGAGGGACGTTGGCAGCGGTTCACTTCAGGACCCCTGGCTGCAAGATCTCTCCAACAAAAAGGAAAGGGTATTCGAGATGGTCCGTGGGGCGGTTAACAACTTCGCCTTCCAGATCGGTGCCCCGCAGCCCCCATCGGTGGGAGTGCTGCCCACCCCGAACCAAAACTGCCCCTCGGGTTTCTACACTCAGGCGGATCTCAAACCGTGGATCGAGAGACCTCCTGAGGACACTCAAGCACCGGGAGCCAATGGCGCAGCCTTCCAGAAAGCCAGCATGACTGCAGAGGAGGAGAAGGAAAAGCAGGAGGGCATGACCAGGCACTGCTTTAACCAGTTTGCCAGTGACCGAATCTCCTTGCACCGAAGTCTTGGAGATGACACCCGTCCACCCGAGTAAGAATGGGCACATTGTTTGGCACCATGAGAAAATGTGGAATACAAACAATTCATTCAATTCAGCAACCAATCCGCCATTATAATGATTCCCTTCATAGGTTAAAGTTAGGCAGCACTCATGACGTGTTATAATGTTTGCTGGCATTTTAGATGCCTTTTAATTTACGTTGACTCATTTGATCTGTTTACACAGAAACATGAAGGTGCAGATTTATCTGTTGATTTAAGGGCTGGGGCTAAGGCCCTATGAATGCTGCCCAAACACTCATTGTAGATTAGAGTCTTTACTGTTTTGCTGCTTTTGCAGTTTCTAATCACACCTTCGCCTGTTGCATCACTGAGCAATAGGTTGACGTGTTATGTTTCCTTTTGAATCTTATTATATTTAAACACTGTGTTGAGTAAAGTGCCTTGAGCAATTTGCATATGTCCTCAAATTTATAATACTGATAATTACAATGTTTAAATGTGTATTTTGGGAATTGTGCCTTTAGAATATTACCTTCAACTTTTTAAGGCGTGTATGTTTATCAGTGTTATTATAGTTAACTAAAAATAAACCATAAAAATGCTTTCATTACTTTTATTAAAAAACTGAAGTGAAATATAAAAAAAACTTATTTTATTTACACTAGAAAGCAAGATGACTTTTCTCATTTACATTTAGTTTAACATGATATACTAAAATAACAAAAAATAAATAAAATTATAGATATAATTATATATATATATATATATACACTTTATATGGGTATATATACTTTTATATGGGTATATATAGTACACGCATATCTATAGGTTTTTTCATGCGTCCTTTATAGGTGTGTTGAGCGAAAGTTTCGCCGTTGCCCTTCGCTCCCCACCACGAGTGTGATCATTGTGTTTCACAACGAGGCATGGTCAACACTTCTGCGCACTGTGTACAGCGTGCTGCACACCTCCCCGGCGGCTTTCCTCAAAGAAATCATACTAGTGGATGATGCCAGCACAGCAGGTGGGCCCGACTTTTATCAGTTCTTGCTGTAAAAATTAACTACCCGTAGATATAGTGTTATTATATGTTCTTGGCTCAATGGCAAACAGTTTTATTTAGTGGACTGTCACTTGTACGAGTGCTTCTTCAGGTGGGTGAAAAATGCCACAAACATACATTAACAAAAGAACCAGTTAAGACTGCAAAAAAAACAAAAAAAACTTTGCGTAAACATAAAGGAAGTAATATTGCATTGTTGAAACTGAAAACATGTATTAGCTAACTAGTCCATAGCAAAAGTTACTGGCGATGAAATATTAATTTGTATTATAACTTAATTTTTCCTCTTCATTAGTTTAATTGTTCCCCTCATTAATCTCCTTGTTAGTTTTATGTACTTTGTTAGTGCTGTAAGCGATAAGATAAAGGAAGTGTGTCAGTTCATTTGAAGTCTCACCACAGGAAATATCAACGTGCTCTGAAACTATTTTTAGTCATTGAAAAATATCACGTTGAACAGTTGACAAAGTTACAGCTGACTTGTAAAGTTTTTGAACACGGTATTAAACTCATGCACTGCAGTTGAAAAATTTGGGGTTGTAAGATTTAAAAAAAAAAACTTTTTGAAAGAAATCACATCCTCACTAAGGCTGCATTTGTTCGAAAATACAGTAAAACAATAATATTGTAAAATTACAATTGTAAATTTCTTTTTGAATATTTTTAAATAATATTTTTAAAATCTAATTAATTTCTGTGGTGGCAAAGCTGAATGTTCAGCAGCCATTACTAATATGCTGATTTGGTGCTTAAGAAACTGGGTTATTTGAAGAAAAAAAAATGGTAAAGTTCAAAAGAACAGCATTTATTTGAAATATGAATCTTTTGTAACATTATAAATATATTTGCTGTCAATTCTGATCAATTTATAAGAAGTATTGAATAAGTAAGCTGAATAAGTATTAATTCCTTCAAAAAAAAAAATCTTAATTATCCCAAACAATTAAAAGGTATTATTGTTGTAGTGTAGTGTTTTTGTTCATACAGTGCCTTTCAAAGGTACTTTACAATACAGAAGAAACAGAAAACAAGATTACACTAATGTCATCCTTCTACATTTGATCTTGTGTGTTATTGCAGAACACCTCCATGAGAAGCTGGAGAAGTATGTGAAGTCACTGAAGATTGTGAAGGTAGTGCGTCAGCCGGAGAGGAAGGGCCTCATCACCGCGAGGCTTCTTGGAGCCAGCAAAGCCCAGGGAGAAATTCTAACCTTCCTAGATGCTCACTGTACGTGTGTCATCACTTGTCATGAATTGCCCTGCCCAATTCTATTGACTCGCACAGCATACCAGTTTCTGTTAGCATGTCATTAACATCCATCAGTCTCATTATTTATGACTGGATGGAAAGTAGTTTTTCAGGAACCTGCTCTTCAGGTCCATTGGCATGAGCTTAAAGTGGTTACTCCCATGATTACATTTTTATTTTTTTCTGGCACTCATGTCATTTGCAAAGTTATGTGCCATGACAAAGGTCTAGTATGTGATGCTTATCTTGTTCGCTTTGAGCCATTGTAGGCGGGATTGAAGACTAGCAACATACACCTGTGTAATGTTATCCTATATTTTACCTTGTATACGATGAAAGTTTTGAAAAATGTGACATGCCATCTTAGCATACATGCTTGAGTAGCATATTTACAAACCCTCTTTTCTCTTTTGTCATGTTTTTGTTGTTACAGGTGAGTGTTTCCATGGCTGGCTCGAGCCTCTCCTTGCTCGCATTGTTGAGGAGCCCACTGCTGTGGTGAGCCCTGAAATCACAACCATTGATTTAAACTCTTTCCAGTTCCACAAGCCCGTGGCGTCGGCCCGTGCCCATAACAGAGGCAACTTTGACTGGAGTCTCACATTTGGCTGGGAGGCCATTCCAGATTACGAGAACGTTAAACGCAAAGATGAGACGTACCCAGTAAAGTAAGTCATGCATGTTTTATTTAAACCTTGCTCTTAATAAGTTTGGAAGTGTTTCCGAGAATAAAAACAAATTTACGTATTCATTTTGTTGCGATTGATGCATCAGTTTTTACCTTTACCAAGACAGGTGTATTTGCTTTTTCATCAATTAAAGAGATTGTTTACCCAAAAAAGAAATGGTCATTTACTCAACCCTCAAGTTGTTCCAAACCTGTAGGACCTGAACACAAAATATATTTTGAAGAATGTTGGTAACCAAACAGTTGCTGGTAACCATTGACTTCTATATTATTATTTTCCCTACTGAGACAAAATGTTTCATTTTTATGTGAACTGTCCCAATTGACAGAAGTGTTTGCAAGGCCACATTTCAATACAGTCAGTCATTTTTGCAAAATAAATCCTGACGGTGATCAGAAGGGGTCTTGTATCACATTGAGGGTTTTTTGTGATTATGACCAGCCATTATCCTGTTTGTTTCCTTGGTACTAGTCAAAAAAATGAATAAATGGAAACATTGACCAGTAACAATCGAGTATTCCAGAGAACCACATAATGAAAAGTTATGAGACGTGTGATTTACACTTGATCTGTCTGATATAAAGAATACTATTGTAAATATAGTGGTAAGTCTGATGTTTCTTTATTGGATAAATATCTGAAGTAATCCAACAGGGAAGTTGCATCTATCACATGTAATTTTGACAGCGAGCTGCATCGAAACACAATGTAACACTGCTGGACATTGGCTGTATTTGTGACCCATGCTGGCAAAATGAGTCGGAATGCGCACGGGCTAATTTTGAGCTACAGGCAAAAAAGTTAAAAATGTCGATTTTGAGGTTTTCACAAAAGTTAGTTCATTAAGCCCTCGTCTAGCGACCCCAATGCTCCAAATAATAATTTTTGATTTTTATTTACCTTTATTTGTACGTTTTCTGAGAGGAGTACCTATTCTCCACTTGTTTCTCGCATCACTTGATGCTATTGATTGAACTGCTTTTATAGTTTTAATCAATTTGTGTAATTAACAGACTAAAGGGATTTTTAAATTTGGTTATTTGTTTTCTTACTTGAATGCTTTTGTTTAGATGTAAAATGAAAAGGGTAATTGTTTTTATAAAATGTAAACATTATTTGTTTCTTATATTTGTTCTACTGTTTTTTTTGTTTGTTTAATAATAACAAAGACAAAATAAAAAAAATACCTAGATTGTGATTGTTAATATAGTAATTAAGAAAAGTGTTGAAAAAGATGCAACTTTGCTCTGTGATTTTTGCTTTGGAACTCGATTTTTCTCAAAATTGACTTTGCTGACTTTATCTACTTCAAACGGGTGTAGCTCAGTAATTTTTCATCAGATTCCAACCAATCATACATCATTCTGAATGTCTTTTAATGGAGAATGTGAAAATTAAAATAACTCCTTTTTGAAAATTTGCTCATTGTGAGCAAATTTTGCCAGCAACGGTCACAATTGGTTACTTTGCATTTACACACTGTGCTGTGTTAATGAAATGCTTTGAACGTTTAGTTTATTCAAGTCCTGGCCAGGTTCTTCCTGTCAATCTGATTTTTATGAATGAGATGACTTGGCTGGTTGTATGAAGTTTCATTGAGTTTCATTTACTATGGCCATGTCTTAAAATAGATTATTGAGGTTAGGCTACATGTCCTCAGCTAATTAAACAGCCTATATTATCATATACTACCTGATGTCACATACTTCTTACTACAGTTATCTACAGCATTTTCCTTTTAGCAACTAGCTAATTCAGAATAATCATTTATATTTAAATATTACATGCATATGTTTTACAGTTGTTTATTTTAGAAGATTTTTTCAATATGATGTATTTATTATGCATCATAAGGGTTTTCTTAGGCATTATAATGCATGCAGAATGCCTTTAAAACCTTATAATATGCTGCATCTAATAATCTTAACAACAGTTATGCGTGCCTGGTTATGTTTATAACTTTTAATGTGACTATGAACACCATGTTATATCCACTTGGGTTATAATGGATTACAGTTACAATCAGGGTTTAAATTGGGGCGGGGCTGAGCCCCGGCACAGACTCCAGGGCTCGACATTAACGCCAGACAAGTAACATGATTAAAACATCAGTAACCAAAAATAACTATGTAAACACCAAAACGCAAGTATTATTCTGATTGTATTACATTTAGAGTAAGTGGCGAATAGTGGATATAGCTACTATATATAATGCATCTATTGACAGTATAAGGTTGCGCAGCTGAGGCGAGGCTCACGCAGCCTCTCCAGGAGAAATCAAAACGCGCAACACTAAGAAACTCGGCATCCTGAGGTAAAAATTCAAAATGGAAAGTTTTTATTTAAAATACAGTTAGTTAGGCAACATCACACAACGTTTTCACCATTACGACGGTTTAATATTTCTACAAACAGTTCAATAAGCAAATACAATAATATTAGGTCAATTACATTTTAGGCGGAAACAGCGCATCTCTCAGCAACCAGACGATTCATTGCTGATGGATTCCATGTTTTGAACGAATCGGTTGAGTGAGTCAAAGTTTCATTAGCCTATGCATAAACAGCTGATGAATCTGCCGTTTGAATGAACGACTCAATGACGGACTCATTAAATGCTCACTACTGGCACCTACTGGCGTTTTAATTTCGTTAAAGTATAATTTCCACCATTTCTTGTTTGTATATTTAAAAGAATGTCATAATATTATTTAATGCAGTTGTATTTTTTTAGTGTAAATGATTTATTCGATAATTCTAATTTGTTGAGATAGTGAATTGGTGGGTTTTTGTTAAATGTGAGCCAAAATCATCACAATTAAAAGAACCAAAGACTTAAACTACTTTAGTCTGTGTGCATTGAATTTATTTAATACACGAGTTTCACAATTTGAGTTGATTTACTGAAATTAACTTCCACGACATTCTAATTTATTGAGATGCACCTGTATATGTGTGTGTATATATATATATATATATAAGCTCGATACAATAGAGCCCCCCCTCTTAACAAATCCCAATTTAACCCCTGGTTACAATAGTTATGTTGTAAGTCTCATATCTTGACATTACGATCTGCACATATCTTGCTACATCATGTGTATTAAATGTCCAAAACACACTTTCTCCATAGTTTAAATAAAATTGCTAGATCCAGATTTCCCTCTTTTGTTAGTTTTATATAGAAGAATATATTAAGATGAACAGAACAAACTGTTTTTTCCAGCTGAAGTATCACTTTGATAGGTAAATGCAAAAAGTAGTTTGTCATGCAGATGGAAATGACTAACTTTCCTAAAATGGACAACTAAATGCTATAAAACTAATGCATTTAATATA